CGCTACCACTGAGCCCTTGGTTTTCTGAGACAAGGTCTCATAATGTAGCTCAGGCTGCCATGGAATGCTCTAGCTGTTCAGGTTTGAACTTGTGATCCTCCTGCCTCCTGGGAGATAAGAACTGAGGAGGAATGACCACAAACTGGTTAAGTCATAATGCTGGGATTACAGGTGTGGGTCTCTGCACCTGGACAATGTATTTCTATCCCATTTGGAGACCAGTTGGACTTCTACCACTGGCCAGCTTTAATCTGTGATTAAGCTTTGGCAAGAAGGAGGGACAGACCCTGCAGATAGAAGAAAGAGTGGAATTCAACCAAAAAAACTAATTTGGGGCAGGGACTGAAGCTCAATTGTAGAACAGGCTTAGGATATTCTGGGATGCCATCCTAACAAACCCCTCTGTCTTCATTTGGGTCTCTACTGCTGTGATAAAACACCAGGATCGGCCGGGCATTGGTGGCACAAGCCTTTAATCCCAGCACTTGGGAGGCGGGGCAGGCGGATCTCTGTGAGTTCGAGACCAGCCTGGTCTACAAGCTAGTTCCAGGACAGCCTCCAAAACCACAGAGAAACCCTGTCTTGAAAAACAAAAACAAAAAAACAAACAAACAAAAAAAATCAGGACCGAAAGCAACTTGGGGAGGAAAGGGTTTATTTGTTTATTTCATTTTACAGTTGTAGTCCATCATCCCAGGAAGTCAGGGCAGCAACTTGGGGCAGGAGCTGATGCAGAGGCCATGGAGGGTGCTGCTCACTGGCTTTTCTCCTTGTGGCTTGCTCAGCCTGCTTTCCTAACCATTCAGGACCACCCGCCTAGGGTTGACACCACGTGCTTTTTTATACACCCAGGGCTACCTGTACAGGGGTGGTACTGCCTATCGTGATCTGGGCTCTCCCATATCCGTTTTCAGTCAAGAATGTACCAGACTTACCCACAGTTCAATCTGGTGTGGGAATTTTCTCAGTTGAGTTTCCTTCTTCCCAAATGACTCTAGCTTGTGTCAAATCAAAACTATTCAAAACTGCCTCAATGTCCAACCCCATTCTAACCCAAACCCCCCACCACCACCCCTGGCCAAAAAAAAAAAAAAAAAAAAAAAAAAAAAAAAAAAAAAAAAGTAAAAATAAAAAGATAGACTTAAAGCTCCGTTTTTTTGGTTTTGTTTTTTGAGGCAGAGTTTCACTATGGCCTAGAATTCACAATGCAGCCCAGCCTGACCCTGAACATACAGCAATCCGTCTCAGACTCTCAGGTGATGGGAGTACAGGTGTATCACCACCATTCCAAACTTTAAGCCTGGATCTTTGAAATCCTGATTTTTTAAAATCCATATTTTACTAATTAGCTTTGTGAATTTTGATGAATTTAGCCGAAGGGGGAAATCTGTTCCATGAGTTTTATTGTTGTTTTGAGAAAGGGACATACTGACTGTGCTGGGATTAAAGGTGTACACTACCACAACTGGCCCATGAGGGTTTTTGTTTGTTTTGGTTTGGTTTTTTGAAATAGGCTTTCTCTGTGCAGCCCTGGCTGTCCTGGAACTCACTCTGTAGACCAGGCTGACCTCAAACTCACAGAGATCCACCTGCCTCTGCCTTCTGAGTGCTGGGATCAAAGACAGATGTGAACCACCACAGCCCAGCTGAGTTTTAACGGTTAACAAAATTACAGGCACCTTTTCTGTATGCTTTAGGAACCTATCACCATCAGTTAGAGATGCAGGCTAAGAGGATGGACACTCACAGGGGTGAGGGAAGGAGAGAGAGAGAGAGAGAGAGAGAGAGAGAGAGAGAGAGCACACTTGAGCAGCTTGAGTCTCACAGGGAGGTAGGGGGTCATGACATTTTTGGTTAAATAGTCTCACATAGCCCAGGCTGACCCTGCAATCTGGAATCATAGCTAAGATTGGCCTTGAATTCCTGCCCCTCCTTCATGCTGGGATGCTAGGTATGCACTGCCAAGCTCAAATCTGAAGTACTTCCTTAAAGGCAGGCCTGTAATTTAGAACACTCCTAAGCTATGGTACTGTAAGAACCAGTGCTCTTATTTCATAACCCATTCCGTGTGTGTGTGTGTGTGTGTGTGTGTGTGTGTGTGTGTGTGTGTGTATGTTTTGTGTGTATGTGTGTGTGTGTGTGTATGTATGTATGTATGTGTTTGCTGTGTATGTGTGTGTATGTGTGCATGTGACTGCTATCTGTGTAGTGTGTGTGTATGTGAATGTGAATGTTGCTCTCTCTCTGTGTATGTATGTGTTTGCTTTATGTGTGTATGTGTGCATGTGAATGTTTGCTGTCTGTGCAGTGTGTGTATGTGAATGTTTGCTCTGTGTGTGTGTGTGTTGGGCAGGATTTCCAATTGAATAGAGTCCGATGATAACTGCTAGTCTAGTTAGCCAGCTTGTTCCAGGGATTTCTCTCCACTGGAAACATAGTTGGGCTCCCCACACCCATGTGGCTATTAGGGATCTACTCTCATTCACGCTTGTGCTTCATGTCATCTCTCCAGACCTTTGGTGGTTGCTGCAAAGGGTCTCGGCTATAGCGCACGCCAGCCTTGGCCGAGTCCTCCTGTGTCCGGACTGTAGCTGTGTGCTGTCGCACCTGGCCAGGCTTCTTAACTTTGCTAATTACAGTGATTCCTAATACCACCAGGAGAGTTCAGAACAGGTTTTCAAACTTGGGTACTGTGAAGTCTCTGGTTAATGGATCTGACTTCATGGCATGCATATGACCAGCCCTTGAGATCCACTGCTAGGAGAAAGGAAGGGGCACAGGGACCTGTGTAGGGAATGTGGCTCTGAGGGACAGGTACCATGTCAGTGGGACAAGGTGAGGTGTTAGGTCTTCTGCTGGGAGCCTGTGCTGACCACTGTTGGCATGCCAGTGAGACAGAGCTGCATCTCACACTTCCATTTTTTTTTTTTTTTTTGGGCAGTGTGATCACACTGTGCCTTTATGTTCTATTTAGGGCTAGGTATTGCTTAAGAGCCCGATCTAAACATTTCCGCTCATGCTACCTTTCTCTCATCATCGCTTTGTTATGTTCTGTGTCAAAGGCCACTGCTTGGGGCCAGTCATATGGCCCAAGTGGTAAAGATGTTTCCTGTCTAGCCTGAGGACTCTAGTTCAATCCCTAAGACGCACATGGCAGAAGGAAAGAAGTCAGAGGTTGTCCTCTGACACGTGTGCACATACACACCTGAGCACACATGTGTTTGCACACAACATAGATTGGAATATATGAAAGCACAGAGATCATCTTCCTTACCCATGAATACAGGGGTAAAAAGCAGCTCTCCTGACCACATCACAGCACTTGCAGATGGCTGCTCTGGCTTCTGGACTCTGTGGACAGGGCAGGGAATGCATCCCACTAATTGACCACCTGCTATTACCCCGGTAGGAGTCAACTATGGCATCCTAATGAGAGCCTATGAACATTGTTCATGCAAATGAGCCACCTTGATGGATGAAGTAATGTCTCCCTCTGTGGCAAAGGGCAGGCTTGCTATAAAAAACAGGCTGTTCAGCTTCCTGCTCCTCACCTGCAACAAAACCCACCATGTGTGTCCCCTTCAGTGTGGGGCTTTGCCTGACACCCACAGGGAAGGGAGTGGGGGTGACAGGCTTGGGGTGATGTTGACATTGGGATACACTCAAATTTTGAAGAATATTTTTAATTAAGTGTATACATGTGTGGGTCTGTGCATGCCCGTAGTACCTGTGGAGGCCAGAAGAGGGCGTTGGATCAATCTCCAGAGGCTGGAGTTATAGGTGGTTGGACCTGTACAGGTTGAGCCACAGTGTGGGTACTGAACCAAACCTGAGTCCTCTGCAAGAGCAGTATAGGTTCTTTACTTCTGAACTGTCTCTCCAGCCCCCAAATTACCTTTTCCAGACAGTAACTTATCAACTTTTCAACATCTAACATCTCCTTGGTCTATGAAGTAACCCACTATGCCTGCGGCTGGTAATTTGCGGCCAGTTGTTTTCCTAACTTGGAACACAGCCACAGTTATTTACCAGGATTTAATCTCTCTCTGTAGCTGAAGATGCCTCGCCACCCCCAGTTTGCTTGGTAATGGGGATGGAACCCAGGGCTCTGTGCTGTGAGGCAAGCAGTCTACCCACTGAGCTGTAGCTGGGGATATTGGGCTATTTTTATTCTTCAATAGCAAACTAATTGTGATAGAGACTATATAACCTGTAAGTCTAGACTATGAGGTGTGTATCCCTTTAAGAACATTTGTGGACTCCTGCAAGATGTCATTTCTCTCAGGGAAATGGATCAAACACCTGGGCTATCACAGTGCATCTTTAAAGGTGAGTTCTCCCATCCACTTAAGAGCTGGGAATGGTTTATCAGGATGTCTTTTCTTTCTTTTTTAAAGATTTTATTTATTTATTATGTATGCAGTCTTCTGCCTGCATGCCAGCAGAGGGTACCAGATCTCATTCAAGGTGGTTGTGAGCCACCATGTGGTTGCCGGGAATTGAACTCAGGACCTCTGGAAGAGCAGTCAGTGCTCTTAACCTCTGAGCCATCTTCTCTCCAGCCCCAGATGTCTTTTCTTTTAAAAACAATTTTAAGTGCATTTGTGTGCATGCAGGAGGCTGTGGAGGTCAGAGAGGCACTTGATCCCCTGGGCTAGTTACAGCTGGTTGTTGGCTACCACGTGGGTGCTGGGAACTGAACCTGGGTTCTCTGCAAGAACAAGTGTTTTTGGCCACTGAGCTGTCTTCCCAGTGCCCGATGACTTGTAGGGAGCGGTATGTGAGCTTCCCAGGTAGAGACCATAGATGAGGAAATGGTCCACTTTCACTGCTAGATTAGTGATTAATATTACACAGCAGCTGAAAGGTTATCTGGTTGGAACAGTGCTGACTTTGTATGTATGTTGGCCCTGAGTTGGGTCCCTAGCAGGAAAAAAGCCACCACAAACCCCCGTGAAGCAGCCACCTTCTTAGACCTTGTGAACTAAAACAAAGACACATTTCCATGGAACAGAAGTCGTTTTAATTCATTGAAAAGTGCAGCAGTGACAGGGTCCTTCAAAGGTCACTTCCTAAGTGAGTGGGTGACAGAGCCAGGGCAGAGTGGCTTCTACAACAGGTGATGCTAATGAAGGAATTTACAAAGTCCATCAAACAGAGTGCTGGTGAGCTAAAGACTGCAGTGGACCGTCCACCCCAGTGGTGCTCGGCTGAGGTACCCTCTGCTTTCTCTTGAGGAACTCGCCCGTTTTCTTTTATTAAAAAAAGAAAAGAAAAAAATTGTCTGTAGATAGTTACAAGTTTAGGATTATTTCTCACAGGTTAAGGTGTAACTTCCATAACCACCCTTACTATTTTGTACAAGAGCCCTGGCACTGACAATTCAAAAGGTGTTTGCAACAGTACCATTTGTTAGACCCAAGGACACTCTAAAAGTGTCCCCGATTGAGAAACTGTGTCTGAGGGACAGTTTTAAAGCAGGAAATCTTGTAAGGCAAAAGCCCGAATTCCATATCGGTTTTCCCGTTCTGTTTTGAAGAGCACCGGCAGACACGGCCAAATTCGCTTGAGTCCAGATTATAAGGCTCTTTAGGGGCATCCCTTGTAGGTGGGAAGCCATGCGTGCTGCGGTCTGTTAGGGTAAACCAAGCTCCACTCCAGTGTTAGCAGGAACGGTCCCATAACCGAGAGGTACAGAAGGCCTTACTGTGTCCCACCACCCACATGTGTCACCTGAATGTAAGGGCAGTGAGGTAGAAACACTACTGGCAGCTGACTTGTCACTCTGACTTCACCTGCTTCTAAGAGCCAGCCACAAAACTGAGGAATATGACATCACAGTCCAAGGCCTGGTATGAGCCGGTTACTTTTTATTTGGGAACAACTATGGTCAACTTTCACTAATGGCTGATGGTGTTTAGAATCAAAGCGGAGTGATTGAAGCCAGTACCCACAATTTCGTAATTTAAAAATATTTTTTCCCTCTAAAGCAGCCACAGCAGAGGTGTCCATTCCATTGCCTGTTTGTCTCTCAGTATCACCGAAGTTGTTGGGGTCACATGAGGTAAAGGAATGAACTCCATGGCTATTACCCCAACATGGCCTCTGGGATCCCTAAAGTGACTTCAAGCTGTGGGTCCCAAGTGTTTAAAGCTGAACAGAGGCTGTGTAAAGCTAAGATCACTCACTGCAGGCTAAAACCACACTTCTCCTGCTGTCCTAGCAGCACTAGGCCCTTCCATGGAAATGTCAGAGTAGAACTGATCTTTAAAAGCCAAGGAACAGGAGGACATGGTTCTAGACAGCCAGGAACCTTGGACAGGGGAATACTGACTGGAACCCTAGTTATTCAAGACTCTGGAAACTCAAGAGCTTACATGAAAGGGAGGGGAGACGGGGTGGGAGGAAGTAGCCAGTTGGTCCTTCACACCAACCATGAGACACTAATATTTTAAATGACAAGGGCAGCAAAGTGCAGCCAGTCACAACGATGTCGTTTGTGGACTGATGCATGAGATCCTCCTCAGGACAGGCACTTCCATATGCAGCCCTCCAACCTGCTCACCCAAGGGCCAGATCCACCCTGGTGCTCACTTGTGCAGTGTGCTGGCCCGCCTTCTCCTCGGTGCTTTGGAGCACTCACCACGGTTGGAGCCACTGAAGTGCTGCCAGCTTCTACAGCTCAGGGGGAGGGGGACTGACCCCACACGGCCCGCTGCCATATCAGCATATCCCAGGGTTCCAGCAAACAGGAGCAGAGCTTGGGTGACAAGTTGCACATTTACCACACCATGATGGATGTAATAAACATCGTTTCTCTACATCTCCACAAACAGTTCTTCCCAGCGCTGTGTGTGTGGTTTGATGGCAAGGGGCTCAGTCTGAAATGCTATACAGGGGCTGTTGATTTGGGGGCTAGTGCTTTCCGCCCTTAAAGTATTGCCATTTATCTCAACAGTTATACAGATTCAGACTTGACCACGTGGGAGATCATCACACACTGTGCCCACCCAAGATGAAGGGACATGGAGAGGACAAAGACCTCAGGAGTGTTGGTTGTCATCTGAAGGAAGAGACAGGGTCAGCCACTTCTGACACAGGGTTGGATTCACAGTACTGGAAGTCAGCTGACCGGGTTATTTTTCAAACAAGACTTGAAACAGCCAGGCCAGAGCTCTTCTAGGCGTGGGCTCCTACTACAACCACTTCATGAGAAAGGGGTGTGCAAGGATCCAACTGCAGAGGCTGAGCACTGTCACTACAGAGGGTGCTTCGAGAACCTTCTCGTTCTGATGCTGCCATGATTGCTGAACATGAGACGCAGGTCAAACCTGTATCTGAGGGGAGGAAAAGAAGGGTGTCACATGAACTCTAGCTAGCCATGGGGACTTTGTCAGCATACTCTCTAGCAGAAAGTGGGCAAGAGAAATGGTTCAGAGGTTAAGAGCACTGGCTGCTCTTCCAGAGGTCCTGAGTTCAATTCCCAGCAACCACATGGTGGTTTACAACCATCTGTGATGAGATCTGGTGCCCTCTTCTGGCCTGCAGGCATGCATGTAGGCAGAACACTGTATACATGACAGATAAATCTTAAAAAAAAAAAAAAAAAAGGGCAGGAGCCCAATTAAAGGCGTTCGAGTTGGTGGCAAACGGCTTTAATCCCAGCACTTGGGAGGCAGAGACAGGTGGATCTCAGAGTTCAAGGCCAGCCTGGTCCACAGAGTGGACAGGCTCCAAAATAATACAGAGAAACCCTGTCTAGAAAAAACAAAAAAAACAAAAAAAACAAAACAAAAACAAGTGGGCAGGAGGGGCTGATGCACCAAAAGGAGCCAGGAGGAGGCTACATAATATAAACATGGTTTCTGAAGGTGAGAATATTTCCACACAAGCTGTGAGTGAGAGAACAAAGTTAATGGTAAAAAGGAGGTTCTTGGAAAAACAAAACAAAAAAAACCTCCACAGCCCTGGCTGGCCTGGAAACATCTATGTAGACCAGGCTGTCCTCAAACTCACAGATCTGCTGCCCCAGTCTCCTGAGTGGTGGGAGAGGGTTAAGGGAGGAGAGGCGAGTCCTACTGTATAAGCATCCAGATGGCTGTGTTGAACCCCTCAAAGAGTCACTGCAGGCTCAAGGTATCTTCCTCTTTTATAGCCACCCTGTTCTGGCTGGCCAGATACTCTGGCAGGTCTATATTCCAGCAGTAGAGCCACGAGGGTGGTTGGCCACATGTCCTAATCCTAGGGACCTACTCGGAGAAGGTGGAGGCTGGATTGAGAATGACTGACTAGCCTCACTACAGTCACTTGTTTAAGATTGTCATTTTATCTTTGTCTTTTATATAGTTGCCTCGCTATTTAAATTTTCATTTTAGCAAGGCATGGTGGAGCACCTTTAATCCCAGCAGCACCCAGAGGCAGAGACAGCCTGGCTAAGACAGAGGACCTGTCTCAAAACAAAGAATTTCAAGCTGGGGCTTGACCGGAGGGGTCCTGTGAGATGTAGGGGAGTGCTCTACTGTGAGTGTGGCGGTCCTGTCTTGACCGTCTGGAATCCATTTCTGGCTGCGTGAGTATTATGTAACAGTCCACAATCCATGATATAGTCATTCATCTCTAACTTGGAGAACAGACGAATCCAACGTCAAGAAGGCTGAGTAAGTTATACCTTGCCATCACCTGGGAACTTCGCCTCCCTCACCCCCACGTCACCGCTTATGATAAGAAATAACAGCATGCCTCTTGGATGCAGCTTGGATGCATGGGCAGCAGCAGCAGGTGTCCTGCAGACACAGTACTGCAGAAGCGGTTCCAGAGTGTGAGGCACACACGACCCTGTAGGTGAGGACTGCCATTCAGTCAGCACACTGCAGTGGGGATCTAGTTTAGCATCTGAGTTCACACTCTGGATTTCTAAGAAATGAAGCGGTCTGCTCTTGGAAGCGCTGGGACCGGGGCAGAACTGGACTAGAGCTGACGTGTGACCCAGCAGAACTTTGGGGACAGGAAAGTAGGGATGAGTTTGTGGACTCAACAGCCATGGGCAGTAGAGAGCCAAGTCCAAGCAGTTTATGTTCCCAGCTTAACAAGCTGACACAGCAAGAACACAGCATTCCCTCGGAAAGCACAAGGGTAAACACAGCTCAGTGGACAGCAGCCAATAGCCTCCCTTTGTCTTTCAGAAAAGCATGTGACCTCTAGAGACAGCAGCAAAGTGACTGAAGATGGGGGACACTTACCCAGGGTCAAAAACCCCTGGAGTTCGGCAGGTTGGCCCAGAACAGGACTGCAGCATCATCAACCGATAGTTCATTTTTCCCAGAAGCTCTGGATCTATAGTTTTAGCAATGTTGGTGATTTGGTCTGGATCTGCAGTTATGTTATAGACTTCTACGAACACCTAGAGGCAGAAAGGAAAGAGGAAAGGAAAAAGCAAGGGTTATATTGAGAAAATATTCCTAAAAGCAATTGTTTCTCTCTCTCTCTCTGTCTTTTTTTTTACTTTTTCGAGACAGGGTTTCTCTGTGTAGCAGCTCTGCCCGTCCTGGAACTCGCTCTGTAGACCAGGCTGGCCTCAAACTCAGAGATCCAACTGCCTCTGCCTCCCAAGTGCTGGGATCAAAGGTGTGCGCTGCCACTGCCAAGCCATTTCCTATTTTAAAAAATAGTTGTGGATGTTTCTTGCCTGTGGGTAAGGCTACTGTCCTTTTTTTTTTTTTTTAAGAGATGTATTTGTTACATATACAGTATTCTGTCTGCATATATGCCTGCACGTCATAAAAGAGCACCAGATCTCATTACAGATGGCTGTGAGCCACTAAGTGGTTGCTGGGAATTGAACTCGGGACCTCTGGAAGAACAGCCAATGCTCTTAACCTCTGAGCAGTCTCTCCAGCCCTTACTGTATTTTTATTTCTAATGGTAGACTGCCTGCCATCAGTACTTCCCCCTCTCATCTGCATACTGTTCCCTAGGACACGTGTGTATGTGTGTGTGTGTATGTCTGTGTGTGCTCCCTCTAATTGCCATTCAACAGTATCAAACAGATAAACATGGAAGAACAGCTCAGCCCGAATGAAGCCTGCTTTCTTGCTCAATGTGCTGATGAGCTGGAAGGGAGGGAGAGTCCACTATGAAGAACACAGGTGAGAATTTACTTCAGATGGTAGGAGGAGGGGGCCAGACAGGGCAGGTGAGTAGATGCTTAACACCAGTGTGACACTGCAAGGCCTGGTGTCCACAGGATCCTTCATGTGACACACAGTCAGTGTGGCTCAAGCCCCCCACTCTCATAACAGATGGCATTGCCTTGTGCTGGCTGTGTGAACAAAGGGAGTCTCTGCATGGGTCAGATTCTGGCCAGCCTGTTGGGAATGCCCCAGTTCCTCTGTAGATGCTGAAGTGCCACAGTTTTAGACCCACTACCAGGGAAGCCACAGGCATATATATATATGTCCTTCTGAAAGGTCAACTGTGCATTTACAGTGTGTAGGGTGTGGCGGTGGTGAGTACAGAAGACTCCATTGAGAAAAATCAGAATGAAGCTGCCCGTATGAGACTGTCTTGTGAACTGTAGATGTCATGGGACATCTTCTGGGTCACCTTCCCTGGGTCACATGCTCTGGGATTGATCTTAGGCCTCGAGGCCCAAGCAACTGAACACAGGCAATAGACAAGGGGTAGGGGTGGAGGAGGTGACTAGGCCCAAGTTCCCCTTACCTCCTGGTCGTCAAACTCACAATACTGTAGGTTCCACAGTGACGACAGCGTCCTCACACAAGCATAGGTATTGTTGTAAGCATCTTCACACACACAGTCAGGGAAACATTGCTGGAAGAATAGTTTACTAGTTAAACAAGGAATGCTCTGACATAGTAATAAGTCTCTGTTGGCAACACAGGTATAGGCTGACTGAAGCCAGCCACCAGGGAGGGGGAATCAGTTATCAAATGAGTCCCTCTTAAGGATGGTCTGGAACTGTCCTTCTGGGGTGATAAGTAAAATGCAGAGAGCATCCTGAGATCTCAGCACTACGAAGGGTCAAACCCCATGTTTTCCACAGGCTCTGCTAGTCCACAGTTGGTTGTATTGTGTCCTTTATACACACATTTTAGAAAAAAAAATAAAAACAAAAGACACCCCAGGGTTTCACTATGTAGTCCTTGCTGGCCTGGATTTCAGAGATCCACCTGCCTTTGCCTTCCAAGACCTAGGATTAAAGGTGTGTGCACCCACACTAGGCTGGGTGCTTTACTCAGAACACTTTAGTGTCAGGAAAACCAATGTTCAATTCCCCAAAGCCAGGTCAATGTGGCTATTACTGTCTACGTGATCTGCCCGGTTGGACCAGTGTAAGTCACCTGTGAAGGCACATGGACCAAACCCCATCTCTCCATCGGTTCCTCTGACGGTATGCCTAGCAAAATGGTACCAGGCGGAGAGTGGGTAAGGTGGGCAGAGCCTGATGCCAGCAGCATCACTGAGGTGACTGAAGCAGCTAAACAGCATCTGCCATGTGGTGAGAAAGCTGCCCTGCTACACAAGCCACTACTCACAGACACTCCAGGACTCAAGGAAGGACAGGTCGGGTCGGTGACGTTACGGCCTTCTCCTTGATATTCCACCAGGACATCTGACCTCCAGGTTAAGTTACTGGCCCCTTTCTAGAAAGAAGAGCAAAGGTGGTTCCTGCGAGGCACGGATGGATAGGTCTAGATGAGTCCTTCCTGTGTTGTCTGAGGGGCCTTTGAACAGCTTGCTGTCTAACTAAAGGGAATGATGAGTGGATACCAGGGAAAGCCACTACTGTCATTTCTGGCTTTCTAGTCTTTAAAGGGATGGTCAGATGCTTAGACTGTTTTATAGTTCCTTTACAGGGCAGCACGTGAAGCTGGCGGAATGGAAGCTGCCGGCTAAACAACGACTGACGGTGGTGCCTAGCTGAGAGGACGCAAGGCCTACCCCGGGGCAGCCTGAGAGACAGACAGGCAGTGCCAGCTGTGGGCCTTGGAGTACAACCCACACCTCACTTTAACTCTGCTGCACATTAGCTGTGTGGAGAGAGGTGTAGCATTCGAAACACATATACTTGAGGCAGGCATATGAACACCGGAAAACAGGAGCAAGTTTAGGACCAAAAACAGATGAATTCAGGGTAGCAAAGAACGTGGGTCCAGAAGGGTCATGAACCCCAGTTTCCATGAGGAGGAAGCAGTTGGGGTGACAGCCAGGGCCTAATGCTAGGAGGCCCCAAGCAGCAGGCAAGCTGGGACAAGCCAGTTCCTTGGGAGGCTGAGGCCCGAGGAATGACTGAGCCCAGTTTGATCACTGGGCAACACACTTCCGTCAGCCTAATGTCTTCCTCAACAGCTGATGGCAGCTTGCTTGTCACCCACCATCTCAAGCCCTAGGAATATTTTTCCTGGTGCTAGTGACTGAACCAGAGCCTCACACATGCTAGGCAAGCACCAGAGGGGGGCATTCATGCTGAGGAAACTGTGAGCAGGACACAAGGGCCCTTTTCAGCCGGCCTTTGGCCTTTTCATCTCTAGATGTCAACCTCTCTAAGACCTCATATGCCTTCAACTATCCTCTGGTATGTAAGTTGCAAATATTTTTTCCACCTGTTAGTCATTTTAGGTTTGTTCATCCCCCCCCCCCCCCCCCCCTCGAGGGGGGGAAGGGAAAATGAAATATACAGAAGGCTGAAGGTGAAAAATGGCCCAGTCACTCTTTTTTCCTTTAGGAAAACTCCTTCCCACCACAAGGCTAGAGACAAATCCTGTTCTTTGTGTTTGTCTACCTGGGGTTTATTTCAGAGTTCTGGCTCTTTTGGTTGTGGGGCTTTCTACTCACCAGAATGGGCAGTAAGGATACCCCATCCATCTGTGTCTTATTCAGGTCATAGCCGGCAAGGTCCAAGATTGTGGGGCCCAAGTCAATATTCGAGACCAGCATCTGCATTAGTGAAGAAAAAAGTCTGGGGTACAGCTGGTCTCATCTTCCTTTTCCATCAATCCCCGAGCAAACCATCAGAAACCAAAGGCACCATCCCTTTCTGATAACCCATTCTCTCATTCCAGTTCCAGACACCCAACTACAGCTGAAGGCTTATCAGGTATATCCACAAATGCACTCGGGGAGTTGTGCCTTCATCTTACCACGTGGTCATTAGCAGACCATCTGAAAAAGCTTCAATTTCTTTATCATGAATCATGGGGGCACTGCTGACTACTGCTGCAAATCAATTATTTTCCAACTTGACATTCACATTCGTTCACTAAATTTGACCTCACATGCATTCCTAACATTTTTAAAAGATTTATGTATTTCTATTTTACGTGTATGAGTGTTTTGCCGGCATAGATGTAAATGCACCATATGCATGCAGTACCCTTAGAGGCCAGAAGAGGGTGTCAGATTCCCCCTGGAACCGGAGTTACAGATGGTTGTGAGCTGCTGCTTTGGGTGCTGGGAACTGAACCCTGGGCCTCTGCAAGAGCAACAACTGTTGTTAACTGCCAAGCCATTGCTCTAGCCACACTAACACTTTTTTTTTTTTTTTTTTTTAAATGTAGCCCTGGCTGTGGTGGAGCTCACTATGTAGGCTGTTCCCCACCCACAAACGTTTTTTATTAAAGTCTCAATGTTGGATGTTTGCTGACACCACAGAAGGCGAGCTCATCATTTTATAGTTTTCAAAATGACAATGCTACCACACCGTCCTCAGTTTACTTTAGCTAGGCCAGGCTAGTCTCACACAAGTGATTCTCCAAGCTTCAGCCTCCTCAGTGCCGGATTACAGGTGGGTACCACTTGCCTGGTCTTGCCATAGGCCATGAAGGCTGCAGACAACTTACTCTAATTGACCAACAAATTTCCTTAAAGAGCATAAAACACCTGTCGTAACAAACATTCTAGGGCCCATGTGATGGCACAGAGGATAAAGGTCACCAAGCTTGATGCCCTAAATTCAATCCTGGGTCCTACCTGGTGGAAGGAGAATCAACCCCCTTCCCCAAGCTCTCCCTACATGTGCACCATGACACATGCATGCACACAATACACATATACACACATACATACAAAAAATTAAGACAAACATTCTAGAAAACAAACAGGGTCATATTTACTTGGTTTAAAAGAATGATTTCCTTTTGTATACAATTCTCCTAAGGACCTAAACCAGCAGAGTTCCTTAAATACACTTGGGGCTGTGTCGGTTTTAATGTAACAAAAATTAAATTTTGTGTGTGTATAAGCCAGTGGACCTCAGGTCCTTCTAAGTTTCTCATTGGTCTGGGGCTTACTGATTGGTTAGTATTGAGTGGGAATCAGAACTCCCTAGACTCAGTACAGGTTAAGCGAAGTTTATTTGGGGACGATGCACTTACACATGAAACAGATGGCTGCTGCAGGTTCCCTCTCCAAGGATCCACACCAGCTGCTCCCCGTGACATGACCAGAAGCCACAGAGAGAGCGAGCTGGGCTCGGGACCCTAGGCCTAGCCCTACCTTCCTATCCTGACATCTGCCCCATTTGGGCATGGTCAGTGGTACAGGGGTGGGGGTGGATATCTCACTACTATTCCCCTTTTAGTCTTAAAAAAAAATTAGGCTTCATCCAAAACTATATACAAAGATAGCAAATATCAAGTATGCTCTAGGAGAAGGAAAGGGAACATACACCCTTAAGCCCTATTGCCAGTGAAGCAACTAGAGCTAGTGCCAAGAACTACGTATCCAGTCCTAAGGTAAAGGCATAACAGATCACTATAGAGCTGTCTTAAGCTGGAAAGTTTAAGTCTTGTATCTAATATTTCTATCTAGGAAGAGAGTGCAATAATTGTGACAGTCTAATCTTCAACCTCATCAAAGACCTGAAAAGGAAGATAACAATGCTAGGGTAGGCAGGAAGTGCAGGCAAGCAACTTGCAAAGGTGCAGCGAAGACAGAAACAGCAGGCTACTTGGACAGTCACCCGAGGTCTCACAGCAGCATAGAGTCAACCAGCTTTGCCAAGGTCTAGAGTAATCTGGCTGACCAACACAGAAGCAGGGAGGTAGAAAGGCTGTCTTACCCTGACTTGGCAAGGTTCATCAGTCTTCTATCTCCTGCAAGCACAGCAGGACAGCATGTCCAAAGTCAGTGGTTGAGGTGGGGGCAGTTCTTTGCCCAAGAGGCCAATAGCCAAGGAGAGAACGAACTCCAGAAGGAGCAACATCAGCACCCAACAGGTAAGGCTGACTAGCCTCCAGGTTTCGCCTTGCGCCTCCTCTGTGTTGGGATTCCAGGCCTTTCCATATTGATTCTGAGAAACAAACTCAGGTCCCTCATATGCCTTATGTACAGATTAGCCTACAGGGTGAGCTCCAGGACAGAAAAACCTTGTCTCAAAAACAAAAACAAAAAACCCCAAGCTGAGAAGCCAGACCTGGTGGTGCATGCCTTTAATCCCAGCAATTGGGAGAGGGAGGCAGGCAGATAGCTGAGACAGAGACCAGGTTGGTCTACAGACTAAGTTCTAGGACAGCCAGGGCTACACAGAGAAACCCTGTCCCAAAACAAAACAAGGAGAGCAGCTCCCAAAGGAACAGCACCTGAAGCTGTCCTTTGTCCCATGCACACACACTGTCTTGTGAGTACACACAAAATTAAGTCTTTGAAACCATGGAGAAAACTTATTTAGGCAGCCAAACAGGGAAATTAAAAAAAATCAATTAACTGTCATTTTTAATTTAAAACCAAACCAGAAGAGTCTATATGAAAAGCAGAACATCTTTAAGGCACTATTCATTGGGGCTCATATTTCCTGGTAGCTGGAGAAACCAGCAGTGCACAACCTGGCACTGAATCCATTAGTGTGACTGCAGCTGTCATGGATTACCATTCCATGGAGACAATTCAGGGAGCAGCGGTCCATATGTCACTGAAAAAGCTCACCAGAGCTGTCCCCAGAGATGAGCAAGACCCACAAACATGGGTCAGTTTCCTCCTTGTCAGGCCCCTGGGGTGAACTGAGCAGCTTGGCTCACAGTTGGTAAGTCTGGATGTAACTATGGAAGAGATCACCATAGCAGGAGAAACATGAGTCCCTGGGAGTCCAGGTGGTGAAAGGAGGAGTCCATCCCATAGTAATGAATGGGGTAGTCAAAGCAGGGCATAAGATAAACTGTAAATACTAAAGCAATAAAAACCTGGAATTAAAATGGCAATTGCCAGTCTCACAAAACTCCCTTCCAGTTCTAGAGCTGCATGGATGGGAGACTTTTCCAGTGGACTTTGCTCAATGGCAAGGCCTGTGGATTCCAGTACAGATTACTGCAATTTGGCCTAAGTACCACAAACAAACATGTGTCCCCTGGATACTTTCTTCCCACATACATACAATTACTATGACTTCTCTAAACAGGACAGGGTTTTTGCCTGTGAAGCAGATGGTTTCAAAATGTGCACAAACTGTATGAAGTGCCTAGAAACCTTCCGTGGATACAGATTACGAGCAGAAAATTCAAGAGAGAATTGAGTCTACAATCTTGCAAAATTACTGAAAACAACGGATATGTTCTTGGAACACAGTCAGGGTCCAGACACTTAATTCTGATATTAAACACCTTGTGGAGCCACCTAAGGCAAGTCACACCCCACCCCAAAAGGCAACAAGGGTCCATTTGGCAAAAGAGCTCAGAGCACATGAGAGTCTAGCACCACCAAAAGTGAGCGGCTACAGGTGGACCGGCCCTTAGCTTCTCTGTCTAGGAAGCTGCCAGGGTACCACCCAGTGACACTCGAGTAGAGAGGAAGGCAGCTGGAGAGACTGCTCAATGGCTAACAGCACTTGGTGTTCTTCCAGTGAACCTGAGTTCAATTCCCAGCACCCACATGGGGTGGCTCACTACTGTCTCTAGTTCTAGGGCAGTGGTTCTCAACCTTCCTAACACTGTAGCCCTTTAATACAGTTTCTCATATGTGGTGACCCCAAAACATTTCGTTATTACTTCATAACTGTCATTTTACTGCTGTTACAAATTGTAACGTAAAATATCTGATATGCAGAATATCCGTTGTGTAACCTCCAACGGGGTTGTGACTCACAGGTTGAGAACTACTATTCCAGGGATCCGACACCCTGTTCTGGCCTTTGTGGGTACCTACACACACAGAGAGAATGGAAATGGCACACTGTCCCAGTCTGAGACTAGGGAGAACAAGACTTCCTTTGTCAGAGTCTTAGAGCTAATGTGTGGCCTCCAGACTTCCCATCAGATCTACTTCCCCTGGGCCAGGCCAGCTCTGAAACCATCCCTGGTGGGTGTGCAGCCTGACCTCCACCCCAGCCTTGGAAGGTAGAGATGGGATTTCCAGAGCATGCTGGGTAACAAAACTAGCTTTATCAGTAAGGTCTGAGTTTGACTAACATCCTGCTTTAATAAATATGGTGGCAGAGCAACCAAGAATACGGTGGGAGATTGGTCAAGGATGATTACTGATATGACCCTTGGGCCTCTACATGCGTGCATATACATGTGCATGCGCACACATGCATGCACATGCATGGAGACTGGAGAGGAAATCCCACACAATTTCAGAGGGTGATCCTCATGAGAGTGGAGTCACTAGTGTCGAAAGTAAATCCCGAAATGAACCAAAGCTGTGTATGTGGATGTGACACAGACACGTGGCAGTGGGATACACTCACGGAGGGCAGTAGACAGTTGGAGGGGAGAAAAGCCACTCTCTCCAAGGTCCACAAAGGCAGAGGCATTCACCGACCAGTGAGTAACTGGCCTCTACACAGGGCAAGCTGCGGTCGGGCACCTACCTTGCTTGTCTGGTTTGGTTTGATCCCAGGCCCTCGAACCAACAGTGGAACTTTGATATCAAACTCATACAGTTGCCTTTTGTCTATTGGCAAAGAGAACTGTCCTGAAACAAAAGGCACAGAGTCAATGTAGAGCCACCACAGGTGGGCAACACACCCACCATCTGAGGCACTCAAACCACAAAGATGTTGTTTTAAGACATTTTTTACTCATGTGTGGCGTGTGTATGCGTGTGTATGCTTATATCTGTGTCAATGCATGCCACATGTGTGCATGCCCTAGAAGGCTAGAGGGACAGCTGGAGTTACAGGTCACTTGACATGAGTGCTGGGAACTGAACTCGGGTGCTCTGGAAGTGCTCTACTTAACCACTGAGCCACCTCTCCAGCTCCTTAATTCCTTGTTTTATAACAGAAAGCTTAAACTTGCCTGGGTTTCTTTTTACCAGACAGGAAAAATAATTGAGTTTACCTTCTCCAGATAAGTAACTAAAAAGGACCTGTCCTAAACAGGACAAATAGAGAAAAAATAATGTCTAGGAAGAAACGAGAGACAAAGACATAAGCATGTATGCACATGTGACCTGATCCCAGGTGACTGATGTCACTCCAAACATTGCCACATAAAGAGAGGAACGTACTCCGTCCTCCTGATGCACTATTACAAGAGAGAAAGGCCCTTCTGAGGAATTCCACAGACACATGATGGGGACAGAATGAGGATGTCAACACTTGGATAGTTCAGTTTGAGGAAGTTTTAGCAACAGCTTTCAAAGGGAATCTCAAGGAGAGGTTCAGAGGAAGGGACCAGGTTAGATCAGCTGTCCGTCAGTCCATACTCTTGTCCCCAGGGGGACAGCCAGACAGTGAGGCCTCACAAACTTGATGAGATGGGAAGTGTACCACAGCATCACTGGGGCAGCCTTCTGTTCTGAAGACACTAACATGTGTCAGGTCTCCAGATCTCAGATCAACCTACAGGAAATTCTGAGTGGAAATGAACAAGCAAGGCCTCACCAGACAGTAACTGGCCAAATCCAGCATAAGGACTGCTCTACAGGACAAACGGAGCACTTTTCTCAGTAAGTCGGTAGCAACTGAGACTTAGAGGAGCTCAAAATTCCAGGTCGTATGTGGACTTATCTGCACGATAAATTAGATGCAGGTGGAACCTTTGTGGATTCACAAGTGCCCGGGAGTTGCTTCAAAACCTTCAGAAAAATGGCTGTGTGCCAAGATACATCATAATGCCAACACTCCAGAGGCCAAGGAAGGCAATCATGAGGTTAAGGCTAACTTGAGAGATGAAGTGAGACCCTGATCAAAAACCCAGGGGCTGGGAGGTAACTCAGTGGTAGAATGCCCACCTATGTGTGCAAGGGCTTCAGTCTGATTGTCAGCACTGCAGATACCCTGCCCCCACACCCTACACCTACATACAGAGAAAACCACGAGGAAGGTGGGAAGAACACAGTGCTGCCAGCGGCAGCTGAAGAGCTGACCAGGAAGATGGGAAGGGGTTTTTAATTAGAGCTCTACCATGAAGACTACACAGTTCTACGCTGACCACACAGGCCTCAAGCACCTAGGCTCAAGCAATCCTTCTTAGTCTTCTCAGTAAGCAATACAAAAGACACACACCAGCCACACTAGCTTCTACTTTCCATGTCAAGGAATTCTCACAATAATATATTAAATGCTGAATCAATCTGCACAAATGAAAGCAAGCCTCATGTTAACTCAAGAGGAAATGTATAGACATAGAAGAAAACACTTGTCTTTTGCTAGAGCATGGGAAGACTGCAGTTTTCAAAACCCAGAAATAGCCCCCAGATAGCAAGACTTAGTAATAAAGTTGTGCTTGCAGAACAACTTTCTGTGTCCCATCTACAATGACATCCCCCAAGTTCCACTTATCCTACAGATGAGCTCATCTTCTCTTCTTCCATGGCTTGTCTCTACCATGGTAAATACATTCACTACTCCTGCCTGAGACCAGGCAGCTCAGCACTGGAAACAGCCTCTTTGGTGAAAATGTCTTCTAATTGAGGAGTCCCGAGGACAGAACTCCTCCTGGAGATTCCATTGCTGTGAAGCACTGGACTCCCACCAACAAAGGGGTTGTGCTCTCCAGATGGCATGCTGACCCTGCCGCTCACCTGTATGGTAGCCATTGTCGGAGGTATAGAAGATGTATGTGTTGTCCAGTTCACCGGTGCCATCCAATCTCTTTACCAGTTTCTCCACAAGGTCATCAACCGAGAGCAGAGTTTGCCACCTGGGCACCACACAGGGTAGAAACAGTACTTCAGGGGCAACGGCTACACAAAAACACTCATCCCACTAAAGCAAACGCCAACTGCTCAATCTGTCCCCCAGACTCATTGCAAACACTAGATAAGAAATTTCCAGAACACAATAATTACTTCATTTCAAATCTGTCTCCAAAGAAATAAATCAGCCTTTTAATAATGAGCTAATTTTTTTCTTTTCTTTTCTTTTCTTTTTTGCTGTATAAGAATAGAGCTACTTAGCTGGGTGTTGGTGGCACACGCCTTTAATCCCAGCACTTGGGAGGCAGAGGCAGGCGGATCTCTGTGAGTTCGAGGCCAGCCTGGTCTCCAGAGCAAGTACCAGCATAGGCTCCAAAAGCTACACAGAGAAATCCTGTCTCGAAAAACCAAAAAAAAAACGCTGTCTCGAAAAACAAAAAAAAAATCTCTCTCTAAAAAAAAAAAAAAATAGAGCTACTTAGCTGGGTGTTGGAGGCACACGCCTTTAATCCCAGCACTTGGGAGGCAGAGGCAGGCGGATCTCTGTGAGTTCGAGGCCAGCCTGGTCTCCAGAGCAAGTACCAGCATAGGCTCCAAAAGCTACACAGAGAAATCCTGTCTCGAAAAACCAAAAAAAAAACGCTGTCTCGAAAAACAAAAAAAAAATCTCTCTCTAAAAAAAAAAAAAAAAAAAAAAAAAAAAAATAGAGCTACTTAGAAAGGACAGTTGTTAATTGAGTATAGATTAATACAGATTGGCTTAAATAAGCATGTGTTGCACTACTGTTTAATGGTCCAATCACTAGCCATTGGTCTATAGGCAAAAGGCCAAAGCTTATCTACTGCCTGTTTTTATAAAGTTTTATTGACAGCCAGCAATATTTTCTATTGCCTAAGGCTGCCTTTGTACTGGGACACATGGCCTGCAAGCTTACAAAATTTGCTATTATCTGGTCCTATAAAAAATGTTTACCTACCTCTGGTCCAAATTCAACACACTCAAAGAGAAAGTAGTGGATTTTTAAAAACTGACCTAGCACGTCTTGCAAATTCCAAATATCAAAGGTAAATCCTCTGCTCAGTATTTGGGCTAATTTCTATGTAACCTTTACTTTAAGCTTGGGGAAAAAGATTTTCAAGCAAATATTTCAAGCTTGTCATTTCTTTACCAAGTCTTAAAGATGGATGTTTTAATCAGGCTCGTGGTCCAAAGCACACCTCAAGCACTTGTACATAAAGGAATGCCCGCCTGCTCATGGAGTGGTGGTGCCCCGTGGCGCCTCTCCTGCTGGGCCTCTGGCCCGCTGGTCTGCCTCCCTGTTTGCTCAAGGGTAACAGTAGTTCCATCCCCATTCTCAAAGCCATCCAGACAAGAACACAGTGGGGTGTTTACCTCCTTCTGAACGCATCATCTAAGAACTGGATTGAAGAGTTCGTCATTGGAGTCTTGGCTTGCCTAATTAGCCAGTGCTTGTTCTAAAATTCAGAAGAAACCAATGTTAACACCAAGTCGCCATCATCACATACTAGAGAAGATAAGACAAAAGATCATTCACACTTTAGCAAACTATCAAGAATAGTGGTTCTCAACCGTGGGTTGTGACCCCTTGGGGGGGTCACATATCAGCTATCCTGCATATCATATATTACATTAAGATTCATAACAGTAGCAAAATTACAGTTATGAAGTAGCAGCGAAAATAATGTTATGGTTGGGGGGGGGGTCACCACAACAAAAAGAACTGTATTAAAGGGTCGCAGCATTAGGAAGGTTGAGAACCACTGTTCTAGAAGCTGTTGAAGCCACATCAGACTGCTTCTTTTTCCCAGGCTCCTACAAGCAAGCAGCTTTGCAGATGGACAGATGGACTTGGTTACTCTACCAGCCTCCCAATGGTAAACACCGTGACGCTCTTTTGTTGGCAGCAGTGATTAGAGACTCTAGTGAGAGCCACAGGGAAGCCACCCTGCTAAAGTGACAATCAGTTGGTAACTCTGACCCTGAGTCAACTATGGCTACAAATGGGCAGGTACTAGTTTACCTGTAAGTTCTGTCTGTAGGTCCCCGCTTTCCACGGATGTGTCACCCCAAGAGACCGACATCACTGAGGAAAACCCTGCCAGCCACGTGGGTTTAAAACCTCAAGTTCTGCTCACACGGCACTAGCAGAGCATGCCAATGTGGCAGAACACGCAAGTGTGGTTCCCAGCAGCCTACACAGGGCAGCTCACAACTGCCTGTAACTCCAGTTCTAGGGAATCTGAGCCAACTTCTGGCCTCCTTGAGCACTGCACCCATAGCATAAACCCACACTCGAGACACACATACATAAAGATTTAAAAATAAAAATGAAATGGCAAAAAATAACAAAAGCCCCTTCAAGTTCAATTCTGGAGGAGCCTTTTTATTTACACAAAAGCCACATTTTTTTTTTTTTTTTTTTTTTTGGTTTTTTGAGACAGGGTTTCTCTGTGGCTTTGGAGGCTGTCTTATGGACCAGGCTGGTCTAACTCACAGAGATCTGCCTGCCTCTGCCTCTGCTGGGATTAAAGGTGTGCACCACCAAAAGCCACATTTTAAGTAACAAAAATATCCCCATATGCCCCGTATCCACAAGACTCTAAGTGACTATCCAAACCACACCCCTCAAACTGTTCTCTGGTTAATACAAATTCGATCTTAAGTCCTCTTGTCAGAGGTTCACATTAGATCACATGTGACTGGAAAGTCCTGCAGCTTCAACTTATCTAACCCAAGGCTTTCAATCTTACTGCTGTTCCCAGTAACTTCTAGTCACGCTCTTTGGAACCCAGAATTGAGATTAGTCCACTAATTTAAACCAGCCTTTAATTTAACAAGCACCAGTCTGTGGTGTGGGGGAGAGTAAGCCAGATGCTTCTGTTTTAATCATTACAGTAATTGAAGGACCAAGACCTCCTCCTTTAAGAGAAGGGCAGGAGGGTAAGCACCTTGCTCCTCACAGACAGAAACTGATGCTCCTGGCTCTGACGTCACCTCTGACATCAAGACTTATCCTGTGCCATTAGGAAGAAGTACTGTGACTTCTAGGTAAGACTCAGGCAGTGGGGACCTATTTACACCCTCAGCCAAGGGAAGTATAACTCACTAACTAAAGGAAACTTCCAGGAAACAGGCATGGTGGCACACACATGAGGTGGCAGAAGCATGAGGGTCACTGTGAGTTTGAGGCCAGCCTGTTCTACACAGAGACTGTCTCACAATACAAACAAACTGAGGAATATGGTTTGGGAGAGAGTGAACAGGAGAGAATGGTGTGGGGGAGTGTTTCTGTTGCTAAAAACGGGACTTCTGTCTGAGGGAGAAAGTCATATCTGGACTTGAAGTTTCAGGGACTGCTTGACGGGATTTGTCCCAGGAGTCTGGGGCATTCAGTACCTTGGGTAGAAAAATAGAGGAAAAGGAAGCAACTTATTAGGAAAAACAGGCGCCGTTAACTGACGAGGCAACTGCTTGGTTGTGGTTTAAACATACAGCCTGCCATCTCATGTTCCCATCTCTTCTTCTCACACCTTGGGCCCACCAAGGCTGCTGCAAGTGCAGATGTCCCTAGCGACACAGCTGAGCTACCAGGACAGAGGAGGCGGGAGACAGGTTTATAATCAATCGGGCAGTGTCTTTACCATTCCTGGGAACCTCTTCTAGCTACTCACTGGATGTGTGGCAGGAACTTTGTATCTATCCGTGAACATGCTGTACTAGGGAAAAGTGCTCACGGCTCTGTGCTGGCTGATCCAGCAAGTGCGGCTTACATGGGTTAGAGGAACCTACCGTCCCATGGATGTTGAAGTTCTTGTTTCTTGGTGCAAAGACATTCTGGAACTCCTTCTGGTACTGAGGTGCAGCTGTCCAGGGTGAGTGGGGCGCCGGAGTGGAGATCATCATAAAGAATGGCTCCGAGTTGGACTTGTAATCCAGGAAGTCCAGGGAAAGATTGGCCTGACACACACATGATGACAGTTGTCATGTAACCCGATAGCAACTGTGCATCCAAGAGGGACATGTCTCTTGGTAGACAGAGTACTCAGGGTCAGTGTGGCTACGTATCTCTAACAAATTGCGCAGCACACTGCCGGAAGGATACATTTGGTGTGGACAAGTGCTCACCACCGTGAGGAGCCCACCAAGGAAAGAACTGAGACCTGAAATTCACGAGACCTCTCCATGTTCCCCAAACAGTAAGAAATAGTAAACTGTCCATTTTAGCATTAGCTTGTAATGACGATATTTGATGCCTTAGAGAATGCTAAGAGGGCCCGTGAGATGGGTCAGCAGGTGAAGGTGCTTGCTGCCAAGCCTCATGAGCTGTGTCCCCTCCCCACTTTCTGGTGGAAGGACAGAACTGATTTCATTCATGCCCTCTTTTCTCCCTAGCACTAACTCTAGAGGGCGTGTGCCTTAATTCTTCCCCACCACTAGCTCTATCTACAGCGTCCTGTGGTTTTTTTTTTCAAGGCTCACTCCTGCTTGGCCAAGGCCCTCCCCACTGCCTCCTCCATCGTGTGTCCTGGTCACTCTAATCCTAACCCTTCAGGTTTCTACTCAAAAGTTACCGAAGTTGCCCTTTACCTTTCTTATTTGTCTAACCTATCAGCACCTAATGAAGAAATAAATGATCAGCCCCTCATGAAGCAACACATGATTGCGTGTACATGACCACACCCCCAGGGTGTGTGTGAGATTTCTGGGGGTGAAGAGGCTGCCCTCCAAGGAACGGGGCTTTGCTCACGTATCGGGGAACAACTGCTGTACTTCGCGCTAGACTGTTTGGTGAATAAATAAATACTCCGTGGAAGGTTTCCATTAAAAACATGTCAGGGCAGGAGGGTTCTACCCAACTATGATTTACATGTGGGCACCCTCGCCCACAGAGGCCTTGAAGGACATCTGAGGAGAGTCTCTGAGGCAGAGAGAGGCGATTACTGCTGGACTGTGAGAATATGAGACTTGAGGCTAGTTTATATATGAAGAAAAACATCCTCTTCAGGGTTCCGACCAGGTAAGAAAGCGTTTTGGCGGATACACTAAGTCATTATGCACTTCTGTTCACTGACACAAATCAGACCCAAACACTGTCTAGACGGTACTCAGTCGAGTGTGAGGGGAGGCCACCGTGCCTGAGCCACAGTGCCCGAGAACTCACCAGAACATCTGTCAGGTAGTCCACACTGTAGTTTTCACCGTGTGTCCGTGCCTTTCCATTGATAGAGAGGGTGTAGTTATAGTATTTAGAATTCTTTTCCTACGGGAAAGAGGAAGGAAGATTTGTGATGGGGTCAGCATACAAATCCAAAGCGTGAGCTCCTACTGGACTACATTGCATTGTTTAAAGAGGGCAACCGCCCAAGTCAGCACTGAATTGGGTTTGGGGGACATTGGGGAACATTATCCCAGATAGCTGAGTTTTATTACATGGCTCAGGCCACTAATGGGAGGAAAAACACTTGGAATGGAGTGACTCACCAGTCAGCAGACTTCATTGAGGAGATAAAATTTCCCATAAAACAAGACATGTCAGCACCAGGACCAAGTCACGAGCATACATATTTTGTGTCTCTGGGCCGTGACTAGTTGCCACTGACCCTAACAGTGACTTACCAAGGCATACCAGTAACTCCAGCCCAGAGGAACGTGCTCCAGTCCGCCAGCATCTGGGGCTCCATACTGAAAAGACAGCCAAGCAGGATGTTAGAACTCCTTAGATATGACCACTCAAGAAAGAAACAGGTGAACGCCTTTTGGCTGGGGCCTGAAACATAACAGGCATACGATTCCCCCAAACACACAAATTAGTTAAGAATAAAGAACTCCCTAACCCAAGCCATTTCTTTAGTGGGAGTCAGTAACTATGGTCACTGCTAAATCTGGCCTGCCAGCTGTTTTGAATGGCCAGGATGCCATTCAATCATTTAAACGTACCAAGCTGGTTAAAAGGAAACTACCTTGTGAGATGTGAGTTATCCAAGCTTCAGATTTCAATGCAGATGGTTTTATTTGAACACAGCCAGGCAAGCACACTCATGAAAATCCATAGCTGCCTCTATGCTATGACGGCACTGTGCAACAGCTCTATGACATGTGTGGCTTACAAAGTCCAATGTTCACTGTCTGGCTGCTATGTGGGACCTGTTCAAGAGGTGAGTGAGTGCTGAGCTACAACAGAAAAAGTCTAAATGACACTTGGTGGCAACAGCCAAGAGAAATGGACCATGGACTATTCCTTCAGTTGTCCTGATGAGGTCTACTTTTGAAGCCCAATCTACCTGGTGAAATGATTATGGGTGACTTCAGTACACTGTCCCCTATCTAAATGCAGTTTAGCACTGCCCATTAAAGTCAGGATGGAATCTCTGAGACCAAACTCTGCACCTTGAGGTTCCCGTCACCACACACATCAAATGTGCAAATGTCCCCAACCCCACAGAGTGTCTTTCAAACTGACTCATCTTCCTTCAAGCACACAGGTCACAGGTCTCCTCAATGCAGGGAGGAAAATTCAGACAATATAAAGACCCCCCGGATACCACAGGAAAAGGATGTGAGAAAATACAGTCTCTTCACTTTGCACCCCAGTTTAGCCATCACTAGAGAGAACCCAAAGACCCGTGATACATCATTTCCTTTAAGCACGGATGCTAAGAAAACTGAGACCAAGGGGTGGAGTTGTGGCAAGAACCTTGAGGTGACAGGTCACAGTGAGGTACCACCCCATCTAGACCCACGAGGCCAGCACATCAACCACCCACAGCCATGTTCAATGCCCACAGGACGCTGTCCTTTTATCACAGTTTCTCCACAGTCTAGTCTCACGTTTAGTCTGTTCTCACCCTGCAGGTCAAAAAGGGGAGGTGTAGATTGAATTGTGGGAATTCAGAAATGATTTCAAGAAAACCTGGGCAGAGGCTAGGGACAAAAGGTCCACACTTGATGCTGAAAAGAAGAGGAAATGGAAACTGTGGCAGCCACATGACCAGAGTCCCTGGTGAAAACAGGGAAGCAGGACAGATGGACAGATGGAGAGCGCTAAGGACAATTGTAAACAAAAGCTTGTGGGGGCTGTGTAGAAGGAAAGCAACTACAGAGCCCAAGCAGGTAACGTGTTTATCCAATTAATGAGCAGATCAGCAAAAAGCTGCAAATAGCCAAAACCCTTTAATACCATAACTTGAACTGACACCAGTGAGAAAAATAATTATCAAGAAATATATTAATTCACATTTTAAATGCTGCCGTAAGAAAGGAAAAGAGGGCTGGAGAGATGGCTCAGAGGCACTGGCTGCTCGTCCAGAGATCCTGAGTTCAATTCCCAGCAACCACATGGTGGCTCACAGCTATCTGTAATGACATCTGGTGCCCTCTTCGGGCCTGCAGGTGTACATGCAGACAGAACACTATAAAAAAAAAAAAAAAAAAAAAAAAAGGAAAAAGATCATTCAACATACCTCATTTAAATATTTCCCAGCAAAAAAGGTTTGATAACCGCACAGTGATCTGAGGATGGCCGGGAATGTGTTTGGCTCTTGGATCTTCTGCCAGGACTTGCTGCTGCAGTTCCCCTCCAGAGTGTTGTTCACGACGTGATGGTTGTGTGGGTATTTTCCAGTCAGGATACTGGCTCTGCTGGGGCAGCAAAGAGCGCTTGGCACATACTACAGGGGACAGAAGCAAAGGACAAGGTTATGATGCTAGAGAGAGACTCACCTGGAGCAACAGGAAGATACTTAATGCTTTCATTCCAATTCCAGCTTCTCATGGAGCAGAGCGCTTTCTTTACACATGGCACACTCCACAGCTGCTGAAGAGTCACTCAGCAGAAATGGCAGAGCATATTATAGAGAAAAAAAAAATCAGTGAACAGATTGGTACTTGAGAAAAGGGGACCATGAGAGGTGGAAGAAATTGTGGTCAAGGTAGGGAAGGCAAATGGGGTACATGTAACTTGAAAGCAGAAGAAGGGGGGAGGGGAGGCACCAAAAGGGAAGTGGAAGATGGGGAAGGAAACACAGAAGCAAAAGTATAATCACACCACACAAACACACCACACACACACACACACACACACACACACACCCCCCCCACCCCACCCCACATCCAGGAAAATACCATAATCAAATCCATTACTTTTGTATGCTAACATAAAAACTGATCATCTGAAATCCATGCCGGCATTATTGTCCCCTTTAAGTACTTAATTTGCCCTTGCTATTGTTTTTTCTGCCTTTCAAATTGGATTCTGACTCTTCTGGTGCTAGGACATAAAAAGCAGTATACACTGAGAGTATGCTCCCACTGAGCTAAGCCTCCAGTTCTGACCAGCATTTTAAAATACTCACGAGAGTGAATGTCTCCACATGGAACACTCACTTTTTCCATTTCTTTTTTAAATCAGTTATGTTTGTCCTCTGTAACTGTTTTTCAAGTTTTTGCCTTAGAAAGATTTTAGTTATTTACATGCACACATGTGTATGTGTGCTCGTGAGTGTCTGTCATTTGTGTGGGTGCATATACGGAAGCCAAGAGATGTGTCAGGTTCCTCGAAGTGGGATGGTTGAGGATGTACAGTCCAGTCCTCAGGACTGTGCAGCAACAGCTGTAACTGCGGGACTTCCTCTCCAGCCCTGCCTTCTGCCACTATTACACTGACTACTCTCCTTTCCTGTCCTAGCTAGCCTTAACTGTCATTTTGACCCAGCCTAGAGTCACCCAAAAGGAAGCTTCAACTTGGGGACTGTCCAGATCAGAGAGTGTCTTGATTGTTAATCCATATAGGAGGATCCATCCCACTGTGGGTGATACATTCCTGGGGCAGTTGGTACTGGGTTGTAAAAGAAAGCAAGAAAAGCCTGCCATGGTGGTAAAGAACACCTTTAATTCCAGCACTCAGGAGGCAGAGGCAGGTGGATCTCTAAGTTCAGGACCAGCCTGATCTACAGAACAAGTTCCAGGACAGCCAGGGCTACACAGAGAAATCCTGGAAAAACAAAAAAATCAACAAGGGAAAGCTAGTTTAGCATGAACTTGCTGACAAGCCAGCAAGGCCAGCAAGCAGTCTTCCTCAATGGTTCCTGTTTTAAGTTCCTGCTTGAATTCCTTGACTTGCTTCAGTTATGAACTGTGACCAGAAGTATATATCACATCAGACCTTTCTGCCCCCGAGCTGCTTTTTGGTCGGATTATCCTACCACAGCAGCAGAAAAGAAACTAGAACATTTACCTTTCTGCTTTTTGACCTTCTACAGTCAGTATTGCATTTACCGAATTTTCCTATTTCATTTTAGTGCTGGCTCAGGTAATCCCTTCTTTTAAAAACATTGCCTTTATAGGTTTGATTTCTGGTACTGACAAAAAAACAACCAACCTTGGGCTGGGGTTTGTAGTTCAGTGGTTGAGTATGTATACAGCACACCTCAGGCCCTGGTATCAATCCCCAACAACAAACAAAAACACTATCTTGACTGTTCTTACTTACCTAATCACCATTCTAGGTAATAATTAGAATTGTTAAATTAGATCTTGAAAAAAGTCTTAAGACTTTAATTAGAAATATATTTTATAATAGTGTTGTCACATAGAAAACAATATAACTAACAACATATCAAAAATTTTTCCCCCAAAATGTACCGTAACTTTATTTGTATAGTTTTTTGTTTTTTATTTTTAAGACAGGGTCTCAACTATATAGCCCTGGCTGTGCTGGGACTATGTAAGCCAGGCTGGCCTCAAATATACAAAGATCTGCCTGCCCCCATTCCTGAGTGCTGGGATTAAAGGTTTGTGCCTATGCCTGGGTTGTTTGTACAAATCTTAATCATTTCTGGCTACCACCTGTTACACTGCCATTATTAGCAATGGAACTTCTCTTGTTCCATTTTTTCCCCTGAAAAAGTCTCGCTATGTAACCTGGGCTGGCCTGTAACTCAAACTCACAGAGATCTGTCAGCCTCTGCCTCCTGAGCGCTGGGATTAAAGTTACACACCACCACCCTGGACTCTATTTTTAAGTAGTTACATGGACTGAATTTTTGAGGTAAAAAAAAAAAAAGAGTCCAAAAGAATGGAAATAATTTTGTCATTTTCCCATAGTTTTGTCTATTTCTGAAGACTTGTATTAATGATAGCCCAGAACCTTAAATGACCAATACCAAAGCCTTGTCTTATCCTTGATTATGCTGAGTCCTTCATCTTAAGTGTAATATATGCTACTTGCTTGAAATACTCATCTTTAGTAAGGTTGCTGTCACACACCTGCTGCCATGAACATCTACTTTTCCTCCCTCAACAATTACTCCTTCTGTGGACAACACACCCCAAATCACGTAGAACTTGCTGTGAGCCTACACTGATGTGAGCATCACAGGTGCTTGCTCATGTAACCACCATAACACTGAGGTGGACATTACTGACTTCGTTTCAAACAGGGAAATCAAAACACAGGCAAACAAACAAAAAAAAAATTAGGCGATCTGCCCACAGAATCTATGCTTAAATCCAAGCACAACACAGTTAGTGGGTTTTTTTAGTAGGAAGCCACTATACCATCACTTAAGAGTTTTCTGTAAGGTTCTTGAATATGAATAGTTAGATTTATTTGGGGCCTCTGATCCCATACATGTTTTATGTGTGTTTTCAGTATCATTGCTTTTGTCAGAGTCAGCTAGCAGAGCTCATGGAACTTTTACTCTGTAACAGCTTACATAGCAAAAATGTTCTTGATTTATGCAATCTAGTTTCAACCCTCAAACAGCAAGGATCTCAATAAAATTCCCCAGTTATGTAATAGACTATAATACCATTAGTTAGTTGTGTGTATAGGTGCATTCCTTTAATCCCAGCATTTGGGAGGCAGAGGCAGGCAGACCTCTATGAGTTCAAGACCAGTCTGGTCTACAGAGTGAGTTCCAGGATAGCCAGGACTACATAATGAGAGAGACCCTATCTCATAACAGACAACAAACAACCAACCCATCCCCCAAAAAACCAGCAATTTATCATTTCAATGAAAAGAATTAATAAAAGTCTTCAGAGTAGGTATTTCATTGAAAAACAAAAATAAAAACCCTTCCATATATGTATCACACTAGAATCACAGCATGTGTGTTCCTTCCCAGAATGTGCTATCAAGTCTAATGACATCACATTGGCTTCTAAATTTACAGCGCTAGAGAAAGTCATCCCCTTCTCTCCAATGAGGGCCTTGGTTTTCTTCAGTGGCGTCTACAAAGTAAACAAGTCCTTGTTAAACAATGTTTGATAAAGTATACAAATCAACGCTTGTGTTGTTACAGCTTAGATTTATTTTATGTGTATGGATGTTTCCGCCTGCTTAGGTGTGTCTGTGCACCCTGTGCATTCACGAAGTGCCTGCAGGGGCCAGAAGAGGGTACTGGGTCCTCTGGAAATGGGCATATAGACGGTTGTTAGTGGCTGTGTGGGTGCTGGGAACCATCCTCTGCAAGAGCAACAAGTGTGTTTGCTTAACCTTTCAGCCATCTCACCAGCCCCTTTTGTTTTATCTTAATCACTTATTTCCAGGTGGTCAGCTCTGACACAAAGCACATGTATTGAGGTGCACACAGACCCTGTTAATCATGAGCCCTATTATTTCAGGGCCAGGGATTGAACCCAGGGCCTGATGCACCCAGGCAAGCCCTCTCCCACTGAGCTACATCTCCAGTCCTATTACTTTGTTTATAGTCTTGCTTTTCATCTTCTTTTCAAAATCTATGATTTTTAACAAGCACAGGGAAGTTAACTTCATCCTAGAGGGCAGAAGTATGAAGGCAATATTAACTAACAATAAAGGTATACTGATCTTGTTCACTTTCTAGACATCAAAAACCACCACAGACAGGCAGCTTTTGAGGAGGTCCTTGTGATTCTGAATACATCTGAAACCCAAGAACAGACTAAATCAATCTTAAGTCCACCTGGCACAGTATTTCCCTAAAGATCAACCCTCCAAATATATACATAGGCTAACAAAAGACTCACTTTCAACAATCTGCAACTTTCTCTGTCAATTTATAAGCCCAAGCTACCTGTAGTCTCCAAAGGACAATTTCAACTCATTAAAGTCAAGCTTTGATGATGCCAGGAGTAGATCTTAACCTGTGGGTCATGACCCCTTTGAGAGTCGAATATCAGATATCCTGCATATCAGATATTTACATTATGATTCATAATAGTAGCAAAATTACACTTATGAAGTAGCAAAGAAAATAAATTTATGGTTGGGGGTCACCACAACATGAGGAACTGTTGTAAAGGGTCACAACATTAGGAAGGTGGAGAACCACTGACCTGGAGAAAAACCCAGAACTGAGAAGGAATTTAGTTATCAAATTGTCTATTAAACACGCAAAACTACGAGACAATATTGCATTTACAGGAAGACGGAAATGTGTGGTAACACATTTGCTAATTACATTATGCGCCACTCACTGATCTAGGCAGGCAAAGGTCAGTAGAAAACAAGGTCTTGCCCTCACCAAACCACATTAGGACCTGAACAACTAAAGGTAGCCAATCACCCACAGGTAGTGGCAGGTGCTACAAAGGGAATAAAGCAGGTCCATGCGACACAGCTGGTGGGAAGGAAGCAGGGCCCAACTTCAGATGAGCAATGAGGAAGGCCCTTAAAGGACAGAACCTTGCTGAGGGCCCTACAACAGGGCTAAGGTCACCCATGGACCCAGGAGCAGCTTACAGACTGAGCCACACAAATAACCCAACAGAGAAAACAGGAAGGAACCAATGTGGAAGAAACAGCCCAAGAGATAGTGTGGTGAGACGAGGTGACCACACAGGGCTTCATAGGAATTTCGACTCAGAAGTTTACATTAATAATCTTTGCATGGCTGAACGAGTCTCAGGCAAGAGATCCCACTATACTGAAAATATGCGTCCGAGCTAATCCCAAGTGACAGTGGCTGGTCAGGTGGAAACCATGTGACGGTATTAAGAAATAGCACTTTTACTCCCATGAGCAAACATGTAACTATCATCCTGAGCAAATTCCCTTTCATAAACACCAAAGACCTCATTGACTTTCCTGATCCTTCGTATCTGCACTCTGAACGCTCCATGACTGATCATTCCACGGCTGACTCTTCTTTGGACGATGGAGGGCGTCTTGCTTTAGGCAACACATGCCATATTTAGACTTTCCCTGCATATCTGCATGGCTCCTGACCAAGCACCCCCTTTTCCTAGAGTAAATGATTAAAAAAAAAATAACCCATGATTTTGTGAACACAGTACCCCCGGGAAAACTAATAAAAGCAGAGTCCCTAGGTGATACATGATGGGGCAAATGCCGTGAAATGTTAAATGTGAAAGATGATGTGACCACAAGTAAGGGAATTAATGAAAACTGACAGGGGCTGGAGAGATGACTCAGTTCTTCCAGAGGACCCAGGTTTGATTCCCAGCATGTACACAGCAGCTCACAACAATTTCTAACTCCTGTCCCAGCACATCCAATGCCCTCTTCCGGCTTCCGCAGTACCAGGCACGAACACATGGCTGTAGATAAACGCATACATATGGGCAAAGCAATATATTTTTAAAAAGCATGGTGCATGTCTGTAATCCACCTCCTGGGATATAGAAGCAGGAGGATCAGAAGTTCAAGTTCATCCTCAGCCACACAGCTAACAAGTCATCCTGTACTATGCTGGATAGTTTTATGTCAACATGACACAAGCTAAAGTCATCTGAGAGGAGGGAACGTCAAGAAAAAAATGCCTCCATTAGATCGGGCTGTAGGCATACTCCTAATTAGTGATTGATGGGGAAGGCCCAGTCCATGGTGGATGGGGCCATCCCTAGGCTGGTGGTCCTAGGTTCTATAAGAAAGCAGGCTGAGCAACCAAGAAGGAGCAAGTCAGTAAGCAACACCTCCATGGCCTCTGCATCAACTTTCTTCTCCAGGATCTTGCACTGTTTGAGTTCATGCCTTGGCCTCCCTTGATGGACTGTGACTACAGATGTAAACTCTTTCCTCCCCAAGTTACTTTCGGTTGTGGTGTTTCACCACAGCAACAGTTTCCTTAACTAGTGCTGTAATTCTAAAAAGTGGCTCCAGAGAGAAAGATGCCATGTGACAGAGCTTGGGTGGAGGGGTTTTTTATTGGGGGAAGTGAATGGGAAAAGTGGGGACCAGTCTCTGGAGAGAGAGAGAAAGAGAAGAAGAAGAGACAGAGACAGGCAGAGAAGGGGAGACAGACAGAGAAATGGGAAAGTAGTGAATGTGCTAAGGTGGTGCTCTTAGTGGCTGCAGCTGAGGGCGTATCCTGTCAGAACCCCAAGAGCAGGCCAGTGCAGATGCCCAAATAACAGCTGGGACACGGACTGTCCTGAAAACAAGGGGGGGGGGAAAAATCAAAGTAAATGAAAATCTTGTGACATCAACCTTTGATCTGAGCCAATGTGATTGTGTGGAGTCCCAACTGCTTACTTTGCCAGCTATTCCAGCAGTCTGAAACACAATTCCTTTTCTATGGTAAAGACACTATACACAAGGTTTCATACATAAATTAAGGAATGTGGGTGACCTCTCTCTGACAACATTCCAAAATGCCACTGAAGATTCAGACCACGGTGCAAAGTGCCTACGTGTGTGTCGGTATTCCAGACGACATGTGGCAAGGCAGGGTTACCACAGTGTTCTAGAAAAGCAATAAAACTGTTGTCCCTAGTTTGTGATGTTAGAAGCACAAATACAAGATACCTCACACCCTGCTTGGCACCAAGGAGCTTCTTGAACATCATTACTGCCTCAGCTTGTCACCTTGTTATCCTTGACACTTAGTGTCATGATTCTGAAAGGGACTGCAAGAAAAGTCAGAATTCTCTGAAGGGCCAGGGGCTGAGCTTGAAAACAAACAAAAACACCATTTACTTATTTAGCTTGGGTGCTGCTGTCTCGGCACTTGCAGGATTCAGGGAACTGAACTCAGGTTGTTGACAGGCCCAGCACTAGAAGCTTCAAGCTTAATTTGTTCCCTCCATTTGGTTTCTCCGGCCAGCATAAATACTTCTTTAAGCTGGAGAGATGGGCTCGGTGGTTAAGAGCACTGGCTGTTCTTCCAGAGGACCCGGGTTCAATTCTCAGCACCCACATGGTGGCTCACAACTGTCTGTAACTCCAGTTCCAGGGGATCCAACTCCCCCACAAAGACATGCAGGTCAAACACTAATGCATTAAAAACAAACAAAAAAAAAAAAACCCTAGGGTCGGCGAAATGACTCATGGAGTACAAATAATTTGCTGCCAAGCCTGAGGACTTGGGTTCAATTCCCAAGACTCACATAGAGGACAACTCCATCAAGTTGTCCTCTAACCTCCATTTTCAGGCCACTGTGCCATGTGCATACCCACCCCCTTCCACTGGTCCCAAGCATAGAACCTGCTGGTATAAAGAAACAAATAGAAAAAAAAGTTCTAGAGGCAAGTAATACCTCAACTACACACAGACAACAGCAAACAGACAACAGCTTGGCTAAGTGAAAGTCACCGGACTGAGAACACCTTACATATAAGTACTCAATTTGGTTTTCAACAGTGGTATCAAGGCAAGACCTGTTGAATACTTTAGTCACTGGTAAAGACAGCTTTTTTTTTTTTTCCTGGACAAAACACTCTTTAAAGATACTTTTTATTTTATAAAAGCTTTGAAATTCTGGCCACTGTGAGGCAGAAGACAGATCTCTGTGAGTTCAAGGCTAGCCAGGGCTACGTAGAGAGACCCTGTCTCAAAGAAACAAGAAGGAAAGAAGGAAGGTAAGAAGGAAGGGGGAATAAAGAGAAGAAAGATTTGGGAGCAGGAGGATGTGGAACAGCTAGAGTGATAGTAAAACCTAAAACCTAAGGAGGTAAACTAAGTCAAGACTTTGGGTACAGGAAATGGAGGTTAGTTCAGTGGGAGAGCACTGTCTCCACATGCATGAGGCTTTGGGTTCCATCCTCAGCACTGAGGGAAAAAGAGCTTCAGCACCCTCATGGCTCAGTGGAAACTACAACAGGCCACGGGGTCTAGGTGGAGGAAGAGAGAGGCTGTGGGAGAGGTCATGCAAACACCTTAACCACGATCTGCAAGAGACAGGTCCACTGAATAAATACCATCCACACGTTACTTCACAGCCTAAAACATATGGCTCTGCTTACCACTGTCACATGTGACACCCGGAAAGCCAAAATGTTGGCAGCGAGT